CCTTCCTTCTGGATTGATGCAGTTTCTTAGCTGTTTAATAAAATGGTGCCATAGTACCATTAAACTTTTTTTTTAGTGGGATATGTACATCACATGTGGGGAAAAATTCATAAAAACTTGGTGTACATGGCAATTATTATTCCTCTAGCATTATTAATTATCAGCTTATTATAGCTTTGAGGAAAATCAGAAAGGACAAAAAAATGACCCTGTTCATGGTCTTAGGATGGCAAATTAGGAAGGGATCTTAAAAATCATGAAGTCCAAGGAGGACCTGAGTTCAAATCTGGCCTCAGACCAAACACTTGACACTTACTAGCTGTGTGACCCTGGGCAAGTTAATTAACCCCAATTGCCTCAGAAAAAAAACAAACAACCAACCAACCAAACCCAAAACTCATGAAGTTCAATGACCTCATTTTATAGATGAGGAAACTGAGGCCCACAGAAGTTAAGACAGTTGTCTAAGGTCACTCAGCAAGTCAATGGCAGAGCAGGGCTTAGAACCCAGACTATCTGGTTCTTAGTCCAGTGTACTTACCACCACACCATGCTGCTTTTTCTTTTCTTCATATAGCTTCAGAGATTATTTGTCTCCAATGATCACTCTCAGTGAGAAAGGATGAAAAACAGAACAACTAATTGCTTTCTATTCCCCAGACAGACACATCACTGACAGAGAGAATTTATTGAAGAATTCATAATTGGATTTTATTTGGTGTGGTCTTTGGATGAGAGAGATCAAAAATTTGCCACGAACTCAATAAAGCTCAGAACGTCCCTCCGCTGAGTATTTAGATGTTGTCTATAAAACTTCCTAGGGCAGTATGGGAAAGCCAATTTATTAGCCTAAAATTCCTGAGCATGAACTTTAGTGGTTTCAACCAATAGACTCTTTCCTTACTAAACTGTCTTCTGCTTTTACTCCAACCAGGCTTTTGACTCTCTAACCCAACCAAACAAAACTTCTGGGATGATTCCTCTATGGGCTTTGTCTATCTGAATTCAATGCCATTCAGTTCAATTCAGTTTAATTCAATTCAATTCCATTCAGTTCAGTTTAGTTCAATCCAATCCAATCCAACAAGCATTTTTAAAAGTGTCTATTACACGCCAAGCACTGGAAATACAAAGACAGAAAGGAAATAGTATTTCAAGGCCTTTACATTCTTATGGAGGGAAAAGAAGTGTACAGGTAAATAAAAACTACATATATATATATATATATATATATATATATATATATATATATATATATATATATGTGTGTGTGTGTGTGTGTGTGTGTGTGTGTGTGTGTGTGTGTACATGTATAAATATATGTGTATAAGTGTCTATATATAATGTGTTTATATATTAATATCAATACCAATATATGTGTATATATCATATACAAAGTAAAGTTTTTGGGGATGGAGGGGTTAAAGTACTAACAACATGGGACATCTGTAAAGGCCTCTTGTAGGAAGTAGTGCTTGGAGTGCACCTTGAACCTCAGGATTTTAAGACAGAATGTTGTATATAAGGAACAGTAAGTGGTCCAATTTGGCTAGATTGTAGAGTGTGCAAAAGGAAGTAAGTTAAGATCATTCTGTAATGATAAGTTGAAACTAGATTATGAAAGACATTAAATGCCAAGCAGAGTTTATATTTTATCCAAGAGACAACAGGGAACCCCTGAAGCTTCTTAAGTAGGGGAGTGACATGATCAGAATATGCTTTGGGAATATAAAAATGGATCTTTAGAGTCACTACAGCCTTGTCCCTCGATGGAAGAGCCATTTACTCATTTGTTCTGACACAAGGTAGGCAAAAAATACTTTGCAAGTTTGAATAAGTTTTCATGTTCCTGAGAACATCATCAACATTTACAGATGGAAGGCAAGGATAACTAGGAAGTATGAGGGGGTGGTAGGTAGGGAAAGGAATAAACATTAATATTATTATTACATAAGAGCTTTCCAAATATTACAAATATAAACTAGGAAGACGAAATGATGACTCCAAAGGTCATACCACCAGCTAGCAATAACATTGGGAACAGAGTCTGGAGTTATAAATGTTCAATCTCTAGTCATTTTGGGGGAAAAAATGAAAGGAAAATAAAATACACATGTTAAGGACAGGAATAGTAAATATCCTCGTACCAAACACATTTTTAGGAGTATAAGTCATTCTATCATCTTGGTAAAAATACCAAGCACTTAGAGAAGTGAAAGATATAGATCAATGAAACCCTTTATATTTATATCAATTTCACTTTACTATTGTAGTACATCTCTCTCTCTCTCTCTCTCTCTCTCTCTCTCTCTCTCTCTCTCTCTCTTCTCTCTCTCTCTCTCTCTCTCTCTCTCTGTCTCTGTCTCTGTCTCTCTTTGGTTGGTTATATTCTTGCAAATTTAAACATTTTTCTTTTTCTAATAATACTTTCGTTACTACAAATGAAGCCTATAACCAGAAAGGAACTTCAAGGATGAACAGGAAGAAATAATGCCATCATGGAAATGAATGCAAAAAAGACGTGCTGGTCCTCAGTGACGTGGACAGGAGTTGCACCGTGTATACATCTTTAGTGTTCCACTAGTATCCACAGGATTTTAGGAGAAATTGAAGAAGGCGTCCAGCATGTCAGGTGGACCTCCTTTGGCAAACTTATGAAAGGATACAGAAAAGAGTCACACGGGTTAGGTAGGCACCGATGGCATATAATTTTTGAGGAAATATCAAAATCAATGATATCATTGACCTCTTTCAGGATCTTAGAGAAGTAAAAGCTAAGCAGTTTAGTATTCTTAATGTTTTAGGATAACAATGATAGAAATCTGTCAAGGATTTGTAATTGACTGAAAAGGAGTAATAAGATGTATTTCAACTCTTTCATTTTACAGATAAGAAAATTGAGGCCCAGAGAGATTACATGATTTGCCTAAGGTTGCAAAGGCAAAACCAACCAAAATAGCAGCTATGTCTCAAAGTATACATTGCCATCTATAAACTTCCACCTCTCTTTCAAGAGGAAGAATGTGTATTTTATCATTTGCCATTTGGAACCCATATTAGTTATAGACTTAAAATTGAATTCAGTTGCTTCACTGTGTTTTCATTATATTATCAGAATCATTGTGCATATGGTTTTCCTGGTTCTGCTTTCTTTACTCTCCATCACTTTAGACAGATCTTCTTATATTTCTTTTAATCTTCACTTCTTATGGTGAAATAATGTTCTATTACATTACACAACTTGTTTGGTCATTCCTCAATCAATATATACTCTTTCTTTCTTTCTTTCTTTCTTTCTTTCTTTCTTTCTTTCTTTCTTTCTTTCTTTCTTTCTTTCTTTCTTTCTTTCTTTCTTTCTTTCTTTCTTTCTTTCTTTCTTTCTTTCTTTCTTTCTCTCTTTTCCCCTGTCTCTGCCTGCCTCTCTGTCTGTCTGTCTCTCTCTGCTTATACCAACAGTGCTATTGTCAATATTTGGTAAATATCAAATCTTTCTTACTTTCTTTGATCTCTGTGGGATTCATGCCTAGTAGCAGGATCACTTGGCCCAAGGATATGAACAATTTAGCAACTTTCCTGACACAATTTCAAGGAGTTTTCCAAAATGGTTAGTACAAGTCTCAGCTCTACCAACATTTGTATTTGTGTGCCTGTGTTTCCATAATTCCTCTATGCCTTGACCAATTTGATGGGTATGTACTAAACCTCAGTATTTTAATTTGCATTTCTTCTATTGGTGATTTGGATTATTTTTTCACAATGCTATTCATGGTTAGGATTTCCTTTGAAAAATATAAAATACTATTTCAAAGAAACATATATTCTCTTTTCTCTTAAAAAATTGAATAATTTAATTAAACATTTAATACTATATATTAATACAACTAAGCTCACTTAGGGACTACTTGCATTTAAATGAATTGCTTTTGAAATTTACATTATAATTTTTTTTCAGTCATACTCTTTAGGTCTCTATCAGAATTCTTTATTCATTAATTTTCATTTAATTATCCTCTTCTATGGTCATAGTTAATATATACTCTAGTCTCCTGATTCTGCTTTTTCTACTCTGTATTATTTTGCAAATATATTTACAGATTTTTTTTGTAGTCCTTATACTTGTCAGTCTTGATTCCATTATAGTGTCCAATTACATTAATGTACCATGATTTATTTAACCAGTTTTCTATTACTGGGCATTAGATTGTTTTTTCTAGTTTTTTTTTTTAAATCACACCTAATGCTACTATAGTCATTTTTAACAGATAGCTTTCTTGTTGTTTTTCATAAAAATTTCAGGGTATATTCTTCAAAATGGAATTACTGGATTAAAGGATATGTTCATTTTTATAACTAGATTTCTGCCAGATTGCTTTCCTATTTTGTGTCTGCAATTCTACATCTGGTAATGTAGAAAAATTCTACATTTGCAGTCTCTTCAGCAATTTCACCAGTTCCTCTACAACCCTACCAACACTGAGTTTTGTTGCTTTTAAATATTTTTGCCAATTTGTATGTAAACTTTATAGTTGTTTGTTTTAATGTGAATGCCTGATAATTGGTGAGGCTGAGCATTTTTTCAAGTGATCATTAACTATTTATGTTTCCTATTTTGAAAATTACCTGTTCATATCCTTTGATCATTTATACATTCTATTTTCTGCATGGATCAGAAATACTACTGCAGAAGATAATTTCATATTTCCTTTTAAAGCATTTGTTATTTTTGATTAACCTAGTATTTTTTTCTGGTTACTAATCATGTTAGCATGTGATTTTTTTAAAAATAATGATTTATTTTCTTCCCATTGATAACCTTTTTCTTTTCCTTTCCTGCATAGTGGATATTTCTATAGCACAGTGGGGAATTGAGAACCTCCTTCCCTGCCTCACCTTATCTCCTAAAAAGGGAAACAGAATTGTGAGGTGTCACAAAGAAATGATGAGGTGTCTGTGCAGGAATATAAACCCCAAAGTTCCTTTTTCTCTTCATATGCCCTTGACAGGCTGTTTGGGCTGTGGTGGGCCCAGATTTTCTGGCCTGATATGGAAGGCATACTTTGTGCTCTGAATGCAGGTTGCCACAAGGATGGGACTAAGACTTTTGGATGGGGATTTTGGGACTTTATTGAAAACTAATTGCCATTGCAGCTGTAGTCTCTTTCTTAGCCTGCCAGTGGTAGGGTTCAGAGAGGAGCCAAGCGTCCCGACAGGCATTCCCCAAATCCACCCAAGCAGTACCACAGCAAAGGTGAGATCAGAACATGGAAGACTGGCAGCTATTGAAAATCCCATAGGTTGGTGAGATAATAATAGTAGTAATTTTAAAAACTAACATTTGTATAGTGCTTTAAAATTTATGAAAGCACTTTACATAGACTTTCTTAATTGGTCCTCACAACAACCCTGGAATAGGTAAATGCTGTTATTATTTTCATTTTACAGATGAGGAAATTTAGGCCGACAGAAGTTATATATGACAACACTGAAGCTGAGAGACATTGATGAGACCTCTCGGGTGGTGGTTTTAATCATGTACCTCATGGTGGACAACTCAGATATTACACTCCCTCTCTGGGTAATTAATATACTGACGCATCACCTATCCATAGGCTTAAGGAAGGCAGTATAAGGTATGAATTGGATTGCATGATTGCAGAGAACAAATGCAGTGGCCCCTAGGTCACATGAAGTTGTCACCTATATATTTTGAGCATTGAAGTCCCTCCCTTTCTTCAAGGCCCAATTCACATCTCCCCTCCTGCATGAAGTCTTCTGGACTTCTGCTAAGTAAAAGTGATTGTGCCTTCCACCAATTTCTCATAGCACTTGGTTACTTGTGAATTTGTCCTTCTTCCCACTAGACTGTAGACTCCTTGAGAATAAGGTCTGTTTCTTGTCTATCTTTGTATCCTTAATGCATAACATAGTGACTTGGGAAATAGTTAATTATTGTCTGTTTAACTGAATCAGTGAATTCAGTTATGAACTTATTCCACAAATACTGAGATTCACACTTAAATGATTGTAGTAATCGACATAATTTTGGTGGAAAATATGAAGAGTTTGATTTGATAACCTTTACACAAAGCTTAAGTTGAAATATTTTAAAGTGACAGAGATATTGCATTTGCTTTTTGATAGTAATAATGATAATATATTAGCTAGCATTCATATAGCTATTTAAAGTTTACAAAGTACTTCACAAATGTCACAATCTTATCCTCACAACAACTGTGGGAGGTAAGTGACATTATTAATCCCTGTTTTTACAAATGAGGAAACTGAGGCAGTCAGGGGTTACATAGCTAGTAATTCTGAAACAGGATTTAAACTCAGGTTTTCCTAGCTCCATATCTGAGACCTATAAAGCATTGAGACTAGAAAATTCTAAGTGACTTAAGAACATTGCTCATTAAGAAGGAGCCATAATTTTATATCCAAAATGGAAATGCAATGGATAGGGGGAGGTATGTATCTGGAGCTCTACATGGTATGTCCTAATGAACAAAGAGTTTCTTATTACTCATGATAAATAATTTGTTTCTTAAAGAGATGAATTCCTGGTACTATGCAGGAGTGTGAACAGCCTTGCTTAATGGATGTTAACTGGTGTTAAGTGGATAAATTTTTGTGGCCCATGCTAAAAAGCTACCTTCCATATGACTTGGTCCCCATGGAAGAGAGCTTTCAGGCTACCCACTCAGAAATTCCCTGGAGCTCTGGACAATGGCTTGGGTCAAGAAAAAAAGCACTCAGGAACCACCCAAGAGCACATCTTAAGTTCCTCAAATGTCAATCAATAAATTGCATCCTCTAAGCAAAGGCCTTTTTCATTTAGGAATCTAATGGGCATTTACAATAACTTACCCTCTTTTATTTTCTCCCAGAAGATTCTTTGAATGTAAGGTCCATGGGCTCTGACCTGTGTCTTATTGAATCTTCATATATCCCCTGGGGCTTGTCACAGCTCCCTGCATAGAGTGAGAACTTTTAACATTTATTGAATTCAATTGCTTGGAATGCTTCTCTAGTAATACTTCTCTACCACTGCTGTTTGGGGAAAATAGGAAAGGATTCTCTAGATCAGAGCTTCTTAAACTTTTTCCACTGGTGACCTCTTTTTGCCTGAGAAATTTTTATGTGACTCCAGGTATGTAAATATATAAAATAGGCATATAAATTAAACATTTACTGATAATAAATCACAAAGAAATTTATTTTAAAACAATTCTTTGGTGTATATATATATATGTGTGTGTGTGTGTGTGTGTATATATATATATATATCTTTATACACACAATTTTACCATTTATTAAAGATGAAAGCAAATTTGCATACTAATGAGATGGATGTGCTTGTTTATTTTTACATAAAGAATTAAATCTTGGCAGAATATTTGATACTGCAGGACATAGAGCATCTTCAACATTTGTCAGAGTTGAATGATATTTTGATTTTATAATTGTCAGTGCTGAGAATGCCGCTTCACATAAATGTGTAGTACAAAGTGACAGAAGTATGTTTAGGACCATTTCAGCAATTGTTGGAAATTCTGTCCTAATCCCAAGCCAAAATTCATTTAATGAATTTTTAGGAAACTCAAGTTTTAAACCTGTGTCTCTTGATAGCTTGACAAATTCTTCTTGAAGTTTCAAATGGCAGATGACTGATGTTTTTGATTTCAATTGATTATGGTTTAGGAACCTAACTTAGTTTTTTAGAATCAAAATTTGAAGGGGAGTATTTCTGGAACTGTGTCTCCAGGCACTTTAGATGATCAATTATAACTCTTACAATTAAATCTTTGGGAATATTATTTTCAATTATAAAATCATCTATCGTTGTAAACATTTCTAAAGAACCACCCTCTTCTTCCGTATATTAACTTTTTTAGTAAAACTTTCAAGTTTATTTTTTTTAACATAACTATGTTTCAATTATTTCCTTAAGGGGGCATGTTTAAATCATTGTTTTTTGAAAATATCTGATGAATAACATGGCTTTGAAAGCCAAAGGTCATTATCAAAAAAATTAACAAAATTGGATTTCTGCTCAGTCAAAAATATGACTTCATCTTTTGATTTCAATAATCTGTCTAAATTTTGTCCTATTGAGAGCCATCTTACCTCTGAACATGTTAGTAAGCTTTTGTAATCAGAGTCCATATCTTTCCAAAGGTTTAGAAACAAATGACTTTAAGGGCATGGCTTTTAATGAAGTTAATAATTTTGATAGTATCATGAAGCACAACATCTAACTCTGGTGATATATTTTTTTGGCTCCTGATGGATCATGCAGCAAGTAAAAGTGATACGTTCATTGCCACCAGCTTTAACTTTTGCTACAAATCCAACATTCTCCCCCATCATTGTTCCAGCACCATCTATACAGACTCCAATGCAATTTTTCCACAGTAAACCTTTATTTGTGAAAAATTCATCAATTTTAAGATATATATCTTCCCTTCTTTGTGTGCCCTTCCAAAGGGTGATAAAACAATAATTCCTTATGTATGTTTCCTTCATAAACATATCTTACATAAAGTAACAACTGTGCCATGTTAGAAATATCAGTTGTCTCATCTAACTGAATTGCAAACTTTGGGTTGCCCTTAAGTCTGGTAATAAGCTGCTGGAATTGGTCATTACTAATTTTAGAAATTCTTTTGGAAACAGTATCATTTAATAAAGGAGTTCTATGAATTTCATCCCCATACTTTTCCCCATGAACATTTTAATTCTCGATGAACATTTTTTCTCAATGAACATTTAATGTCATGAACATTCTGATATTTTAATAGCAGCAGGTAACACAAAATGCCCTATTGTGTAGGGCTTTTTAGTTTTTGCAATTAAATAAATTTTGTATGATGTAAGTATTTACTTTTCATTGACAGTAACAGATTTCTCAAGACGTTATTTTTCTTTATTTAAAGATTTTAAGAGTCCTTCAAAATACTCTTTGGTTTATTGCAGTATACTGCATGCTTGGTATTAAGATGTAGTTTTGGTTTGGCTGGTTTCATGCTCTCCATAGCCAAAATTCATTACAAATTAGGCAAAGAGGTTTTTCCATACCATCATTATTAGAAGTAAATTCATATTGCAAAAATGATTCCACATATTTTCTTTTCTTGTTTTTTGTTTTTCTTTTTCTTTTTTTTTTGTCAATTTAGGTGTACTACAACCTGGTAGTGAAAACTCTACTGCGTTGTCATCAGTATTTTTACCTCTTCTGTCTAAATTTAGCAACTTATCCATAACCAAAAATATTTTGTCCTAAAATATAAATAAATATTGCTAATAATTTCTCAAATAAATATTAGCTTTAGTTTATGAAATTACATTTGTGCTTAATTTTTTAAAAATTGATGTTCATTCTTACATATACATACAGCGGTGATGGTGGAGAAATATTAAAGGGCTTTACTTCCTGCAATTAAACACTCATGTTTCTGTAAAAGAAGGAGATAACAGCAATTTTTAAAAATCAAACATTGTAACATGATACAATTCAAAGATATACTAATATAATACTTACCTGTTGAGGAATGATGGTAGGAAAATATTAAGAATCTTTATTTTCCATAATTAAACTACTATGTTTCTCTAAGAGCAGAAAATTTTGCATACACAGTAAAACACCAAGCAATTCATAACATACAATAATCTTGAATCTGAGCTGAGGTGCTTATGACAGTGTGCGTTGGTATTGCATGGCACATGGCATATGCAGTGCAAAGTGCGCATGTTGTATGTTCAGAACCAAGGCTATAGTAAAGTTGTGTGATGCAACATGGCAAGTGCTGCCAGAAACACCTCAGATTCATTACATGTTAGATTTTGAATTAATTTTTGGTTGTTGTGTGTTCAGAAACCTTTTACTCTTGCCAAATTTTTCATGACCCCCACATTCAGTTATGGTTGTGATCCACAGCTTAAGAGGCACTGCATCTAGATCATGCGTTCTTAACGAGGGGTCTGTGATCTTCTTTTAAAAAAATATTGTGATAATTTATTCCAATATAATTGATTTCCTTTGTTGTGCTATGTATTTTTTTCCTTTGTTCAGTTTAGTTTTCAACTTTAATCCAATTCTTTTTTTTTTGCTACGTATTTTAAAAATGCATTTAGAGGGGCAGCATTGTTCTGAGAAGAGGTTCATAAGCTGCAGCAGACTGCCAAAAACAAAAAATAGCTTAAGATTCTTTGTTCTACCTGGATATCTGATTGTGGGAAATAACATGATATGCTGATATACTTAGAGAATCCTAGAAAATCAAGTAAAAAAACTACTTGAAATAATAAACAACTTTAGCAAAGTTGCAGTCTATAAAATAAAGCCACATAAATCATTGGCATTTCTATATATTACCAACAAAGCCAGAGGATAGAAAAAGCAAGAGATAGAGAAATTCCATTTAAAGTTACTGTAGACACTATAAAATATTTAGGAGTCTACCTCCTGAAACAAACCCAGGAACTCTACGAACACAATTACAAAACACTTTTCATACAAATAAAATCAGATCTAAATAATTGGAAAAAACATCAGTTGCTCATGGGTAGGCCGAGCTAATATAATAAAAATGACAATCCTACCTAAGCTAATTTACTTATTCAGTGCCATACCAATCAAACTACCAAAAAATATTTTATAGAGTTAGAAAAAATAATAACAAGATTCATTTGGAAAAACAAAAGGTCCAGAATATCAAAGGAACTAATGAAAAATGCAGGGGAAGGTGGCCTAGCAATTCCAGATCTGAAATTGTGTTACAACCAGCAATCATCAAAACTGCTTGGTACTGGCTAAGAAATAGGGAGGTGGGTCAGTGTAATAGGTTAAATATGCAAGACACAGTAGTCAATGACTATAGTAATCCATTATTTGATAAACCCAAAGACCCCAGCTTCTGGGATAAGAACCCACTCTTTGAAAAAAACGGCTGGGAAAAGTGGAAAAGAGCGTGGCAGAAACTAGGCATAGACCCAAATCTCACACCATATACCAAAATAAAGTCAAAATGGGTTCAGGACTTAGATATAAAGGCTGATACCATAAGTAAACTGGGAGAACAAGGAATAGTTTACCTATCAGATCTATGGAGAACAGAAGAATTCATGACCAAACAGGAGATAGAGAACATTATGAAAAGCAAAATGGATAATTTTGATTACATTAAATTGAAAAGTTTTTGCACAAACAAAGCCAATGCAACTAAGATTAGAAGGAAGGTAGAAAATTGGGAAAGAATTTTTACAACCAGTCTTCTGATAAAGGCCTCATTTCTAAAATATATAGAGAATTAAGACAAATTTATAAGAACACAAGCCATTCCCCAATTGATAAATGGTCAAAGGATATGAACAGACAGTTCTCAGATGAAGAAATTAAAGCCATCTATAGTCATATGAAAAAATGCTCTAAATGTTATTGATTAGAGAAATGCAAATCAAAACAACTCTGAGGTACCACATCACACCTATCAGATTGGCCAACATGACAAAACAGGAAAATGATAAATGTTGGAGAAGATGTGGGAAAATTGGAACACTAATACATTGTTGGTGGAGTTGTGAAATGATCCAACCATTTTGGAGAACAATTTGAAACTATGCCCAAAGGGCTATGAAAATGTGCATACCCTTTGATCCAGCAATAGCACTTCTAGGGCTATATCCCAAAGAGATCAAACAAATGGGAAAAGGACCCACATGTACAAAAATATACATAGCAGCTCTTTTTGTGGTGGCAAAGAATTGGAAATTGAGAGGATGCCCATCAATTGGGGAATGGCTGAGCAAGTTGTGATATATGAATGTAATGGAATACTATTGTGCTATAAGAAATGATGAACAGGCTGACTTCAGAAAAACCTGGAAAGACTTATATGGTCTGATGCTGAGTGAAGTGAGCAGAACCAAGAGGACTTTGTACACAATAGCAGCCATGTTATGCAATGACTAAGAATGTTAAACTGAACCCTTCTCAGCATTACAAGGATCTAAAGCATCTCCAGAGGCCTCGTGATGGAAAATGCTGTCTACATCCAAAGAAAGAACTATGGAAGTCAAATCACTCTCACTTATTTTTACCTTCTGTTGAGTTTTGTTTCATCTTTCTGATGGTTCCTCCTATTGGTTTTAATTTTTACTTACAACTTCACTAATGTGAAAATACGTTTAATGGGTATGTAAATGTAAAGCCTATGTCAGATTGTGCTCCGTCTTGGGGAGGGGGGGGAGAAAAAGGGAGAAAAAATTTTCAACTCAAAAGCATATGGAAAAAAAATTTTTTTAAAAATTGAAAAAAAATAATTGAAAAAAAAATGATGAGCAGGATGCTTTTAGAAAATCCCAGAAAGGTTTTACATAAACTGATGCAAAGTGAAAATGAGCAGAACCAGGAGAACATTGTACATAGGAACAGCAATACTGTATGATAATCCACTGTGAATGACTTAGCTATGTTTAGCAATACAATGATCCAAGACAATTCTGATGAAAGGTGCTATGTATCTCCACAGAAAGAACTGATGGAGTCTGAATGCAGATCAAAGCACACTTTTTCCAAACTTTTTTTTTTTGGTCTGTATTTTCTTTCGCAACATGATTAATATGGAAATATGTTTTATATCACTACAAATATATCAACTATATGAAATTGCTTGCCTTCTCAGTGAGGGGTAAGGAGAGGGAAGGAAGGAGAGAATTTGAAACTCAAAAATTTTAAAAATGAATGTTAAAAATATTTTACATATAATTGGGTAAAAATAAAACATTAAATAAATATATTTAAAGAGAAACAACAATAACAAAAAAAAACAATGAAACTCCAAGACGTCAGTGTGCGTGTTATGGGAGCTGGCTGGGATGGTCAAAGGTTCTAAATAATGCTTACCTCTTGGTAAACTTATCAAATAAAGAAACTCCTCTGATACCTCTCTTCATTATATATTTGCACTACCTACCCAACGGAGTGACTGTAAGAAAAATGCTTTATTTTTAATTTTTTTTGTGGGGGTTGATTACCTGGTACGTGAAACTTGAAGCTTTACTGATACTCCCTCAACCTTTGGTGCCAGTCAGCGTTTCTCTGTCATATGAGTTCTCCAGCGTGCTCTAAAGTGGGAGCTATTGTTAAACCTGCCACATTCACTACATTTGTAGGGTTTTTTCCTGTGTGTATTCTCTGGTGTATAATAACGCTTAAACTTGATTGAAGCTTTTCCCGTACTCACCACACTTACAGAGTCTCTCTCCTGTATGAATTTGTCCATGTGTAATGAGATTTGAGTGATCACTGAAACTTTTCCCACATTCAAGACATTTATAGGGTTTTTCTCCTGTAAGGCTGGTGAGGGTAGACCTCTTACTAAATCTTTTCCCACCTTGAGGACACTGGTAGGGTTTTTCACCTGTATAAGTCCTCCAGTGAGCATTGAAATGTGAGCTGTTAGTGAAGCTTTTTCCACATTTACTGCACTTGTGGGGTTTTTCTCCTGTGTGAATTTTCTGATGCATAGTAAGGCTTGAGCTTTGATTGAAGCTTTTTCAGCACTCACCACATTTATAGGATTTTTCTCCTGTATGGATTCTTTGATGTGCTGTGAGGTTAGAGTGACCAGGACATTTGTAAGGCTTCGCTCCTGTATGGATTCTCTGGTGGCAAATAAGATGTGAACTTTGACCAAAGGTCTTGCCACACTCATCACAATTATATGATTTCTCTTCCCCAGTGTGAGCTAATCAATGCACAGCAAGGTGTGAGCTCTGACTGAAGTTTTTTCCACATCCAGAACATGTGTTTGGGTTTTCTCCTATGTAGGCTCTCTGAAGACCTATAAAATTGCCCAAATTTCTTTCCTGAGGAGAGAATGGCCCTTGTACCTCCCCTGGGAGCATTTTCCATTGCCTTTCAGTTGTATATTCACTTTCCCAGGCTTTCCTCCAATTAAGATAATGGGAAACATTTCATTGGGAGCTTCCCAGTAATATTGCATGTAGTTCTATTTCCTTGGAAATTTCCTGGCTTGGATTCTCCTCCTTCTCCTTGCTCATTTCCAAATCTGTATGGGGAAGGAAAACACTTCATAAACTGCAAATTAATATATAACTGTGAGTTACTATAAAGTATTGAAATTTTATGTTTAAACTTTTTGATAGAAATACTTCTAATACATGAGCAAGTAGTTACCATTCCTAATATATCCATTCTACAAGGCATGGTCATGCTCATATCTGATGCATTTTGAATAAAGTAAAGGTTAATAGGGGAAATAGTGGCATAAGGAAGTGACAAAAGAGAAGAGGTTGGAATATAGAACCTACAGATGCATAAACTCCTGGAAATTATAACTTTTCTACAAAACTAATTATAGAATCAAAGGTTAACGCAACATTCTTTTCAGTTATTTTCTTATTCATGGTAAAACCATTTCTAACAGTGCCTTAATCAGATGTTTAAGGAAGACAATGGGGAAGGTGCTAAAAAAATGCTGCTGTTATGTTTTTGAAGAGATAGCATTTTCTGGAGTACTGGATTTGAAGCCAGAGGACTAGGTTCAAATTCTGGGCAACTGCAGATATAAACAACTTTTTGCATCTTTGTCTGCTTGTTAATTTCCAGGTTTACCAAAGTACTGGATACCTGAAGATCCCAGACTTCTCTGTGCTAGATAATTGAAGGCAGAGCACTCCACTGAAAAGGCTGCCAAGATCTATCAGTGAAACAAAGTAAGCTCCCACACAATCTCTAGATCCTGAAAAAAGAAATGTTAGGAAATGATTTTGCAGTAGGCAGACAAAGGTTTCATTTTTAGAATTCATCTGATCTATGGGCATTTCAGAACCTTAGGTTTGACAGACTATAATTGGTATCTTAGAGAAATTCTAAAGAAATGTAGAGAAAAGAAATGGTTCATGCACTCAGGTGTGGTGTTAATAGGCTTTTATCTGCATCTTAGTTTTTGTCATTACATTCTTTTGCTTTGTCCTTTATTTGAATGGAGGGCAAAGGAAATTGCTAAGAGCTACTTAGAATATGAAAATAAGGTGAAAGGCAAGGGATGGCAACCATAAAGTAACAGCTGCTACTAAAAGTGGTTCATGGAATTTTGAAGGCTTCGTTGTATTAAGAATCTAACGGAAAGCATACTGAGGAGTTCTATTAGCAGATCTCTTTTTTTTTTCTACTTTATTGGTCTCAAATTAGTCTTGTGAAAATTGTCATTCATTTGTAGATTCACTTATGAATTTAAATGGACATTACCACGTGGCTAAGAAACACGTATAAACACACAGAAACCTATCTGTGTACAAGTATATATATGCCTGTATATATAGACACAATGTGTAGATTGGTGGAGCAGCGGATATAGCACCAGCCTTGGAAGCAGGAAGCCTACTCTTCATGACTTCAAATCCAACCTCAGACATTTATTAGCTATGTGATCCTGGGCAAGTTGCTTAACCCTATTTGCCTCAGTTTCTTCATCTGCAAAATGAGCTGGAGAGAACAATACATATAATCTAAAAGGACATAAAAGTCTTCTAAATTCAGAAAGAAATAAAAGACTAAGGGAATAAGGATTGGGGAGAGGATAAAGGAGGGACCTTTGGTGAGCAAGGTAAAGGGTAAAAGTAAAGTAGAGGAGTCAGGAGAGATATGAAATAGGAGATACACATCAACATAAAATAAAGATCAGGATTAGGCTTCATTAGAGGGAAAAAAACAGGGGTAGTAATCATGATCTCAGACAAAGTTAAAGCTAAAATAGATTTAATCAAAAGAGAAAAGTAGGGAAACTATATGTCAGCCATATTAATTAATACTGTTTTAGACTATTTCAAATAACTAGAGAGTATGAGGTTGGAATATTACTGTGGTATAGGAAATGATGAGCTGGTAGACTCAGAAAAATATGGAAAGGCTTGGACCTATGAAGGAAGATGTTATCCACCCTCAGAGAAACAAAGGACAAACAAGTATAATACGGTCTTACAGAGATACATATGAATGCACATGTTTATATATAAGTATGATTATAGATATCTAGGTATATGTATGTGTGTGTGGAGATATATATATATATATAAATATAATATAATATATATATAATATATAAATATATATATATTATATAATAATTATTATATATATATAATATATTATTATATATATATATATAATATATATAATATATATAATATATCTATATATAATATTATATATATATACACACAAATACACACATGTACACACACACACATATATATATATATATATATATAATATATATATATAATATATATATATATATATATATATATCCATGCTTAACTGTAGCCTTCTTGGGGGGGGTGGCGGGGAAGGAAAAAGGAAAAAAGAACAAGGTAAAAAGTGTACAGGAGAAAACAAAAGAAAACTTACAAGGAAGCAAAAAAAAGACGGACAGCTCAGAACACAATGTGTAGTATTTATTATATAGGCTTTCTGGAAATGAAAAATTTATTGCTGCGTATTTTGAATTCTCTTTTATATTCTGCTGTGCGTATGGTAATTTTTTTCTTTTCTTATTGTGTATTTAAGTTTTAGTTTTTAAGTTTATGTTTCTTTTTCTTTTCTTATTGTGTATTTAAGTTTTAGTATTTAGGTTTAAAATAAATTAATAAAAAGGGGAAAATGAACTGGAGAAGGCAATGGCAAACCATTCCACTAACTTTTCCAAGAAAAACCCAAATGGGATGATGAAGAGTTGGACATGCCTGAACAACAACAACATACATAGAACATTGAGAGCTTTAGGCTTAGGTACCATATCTTCTTGTTTCTGCTTTTTTTCCTTTCTTGTCTGTACACATATTCCCCATTAACTCTATCAATACTTGGCTATTGCAATAGCCTGATGGTTAACATCCCCACCTCAAGTATCTCCCCATTCTAATATATCTTTCATTCACTTTCACTAAATCTTCCTAAAGGGCAGGTTTGACCATGTCATCTCCCTATTCAATCAACTCTAGTGGCACCCTATTGCCTCCAGGATCAAATCTAAAATCCTCTGTTTGGCTTCGAAAGCTTTTTATAACCTGGCCTTTTCCTGCCTTTCCAGTCTTCTTAAATCTTACTCCTCTTCACAGACTCTGTGAGCCAGTGACACTGGGCTCACTGCTGTTCTTTCAACTAGGCACTTCATTTCCCAACTCTGGGCATTTTTATTGACTGTCTCTCATGAATGAAACTCTTTCCCTCTTTATTCCTACCTCCTAACTACCTTTATTCAAGGCTCAGCTAAAACTTCACCTTCTGCAAGAGGACTTTCTGATCCCCCTTAATGCTAGTGTCTTCCTGCTTTTGGTTATCTCCAATTTATTTTGTATATATTTGTACATAGTTCTTTGCATGTTGTCTCCCCATCAAACTGTGAGCTTCTTTGAGAGAAAAGGCTGTGCTTTTGCCTTTCTTTCTATCTCCAGCACTCAGCACAATGCTTTGAGAATAGCAGGCACTTCAACAACTTATCTCAAGGATAATACACTATGACCAGGTAGGATTTATACCAGGAAAGCAGGGCTGGTTCAATATTAGGAAAACGGTCAGCATAATTGACCATATCAACAACAGAACTAACAGAAATCATATGATTATCTCAATAGACACAGAAAAAGCATTTGAAAAAATACTACACCCATTCCTATTAAGAACACTAGAGAGCAAAGGAATAAATGGAGTTTTCCTTAAAATGATAGATAGCATTCTATCAAAAACCATCAGCAAGCATTATATGCAATGAGGATAAACTAGAAGCATTTCCAATAAGATCAAGGGCAAAACAAGGATGTCCATTATCACCACTGTTATTCAATATTGTGCTAGAAATATTAACTGTAGCAATCAGAGAAGAAAAAGAAATTGAAGGAATTAGAATAGGCAAAGAAACAAAGGCCTCACTCTTTGCAGATGATATGATGGCCGTATCTAGAGAATCCTAGAGAATCAAGTAAAAAATTACTTGAAATAATAAAATTTAGCAAAGTTGCAGGATATAAAAGAAACCCACACAAATCACTGGCATTTCTATATATTACTAACAAAGCCCAGCAGCAAGAGATAGAAAGAGAAATTCCATTTAAAATTAGTGTAGACACTATAAGTGTCTACCTCCCAAAACAAAACCAGGAACTATGTGAATACAATTATGAAACACTTTTCACACAAATAAAGTCAGATCTAAATGACTGGAAAAAATCAGTTGCTCATGAGTAGCTGAGATAATACAATAAAAATGACAATTCTACCTAAATTAATCTACTTATTCAGTGCCATACCAATCAAACTGCCAAAAAATTATTTTATAGAGCTAGAAAAAAAAACAATAAAAAAATTCATCTGGAAGAATAAGAAGTCCAGAATATCAAAGGAACTAATGAAAAGACATACACGCGAAGGTGGCATAGCTGTACCTGATCTTAAATTGTATTACAAAGCAGCAATCATCAAAACTACTTGGTACTGGCTAAGAAATGGAGTGGTGGATCAGTGGAATAGGTTAGGTATGCAAGACACAACAGTCAACGGCTGTATTGATCTACAATTTGATAAATCCAAAGACTCCAGCTTCTGGGATAAGAAATCACTATTTAGCAAAAACTGCTGGGAAAACTGGAAAATAGGATGGCAGAAACGGAACATAGATCAACATCTTACACCCTATACCAAGGATGGATACACAATTTAGATAGAAAGCCTGATACCATATGCAAACTAGAAGAGCAGGGAATAGTTTACCTTTCAGATCTATGGAGAAGGGAAGAATTTATGACCAAACAAGAGAAAGAGAACATTATGAAATGCAAAATGAACAATTTTGATTACATTAAATTGAAAAGTTTTTGCACAAATAAAGCCAATGCATCCAAGATCAGGAGGGAAGCAGAGAACTAGGAAATAATTTTTACAACCAGTATCTCTGATTAAGATCTCATTTCTATAATGTATAGAGAACTAAGTCAAATTTATAAGAATACAAGTCATTCCCTAGTTGATAAATAGTCAAAGGATATGAACAGGCAGTTCTCAGAGGAAGAAACTAAAGCTATCTATAGTCATACAAAAAAGTTCTAAATAAGTATTGATTAGGGAAATGAAAATCAAAACAACTCTGAGGTACCATATCACACCTGTCAGATTGGCTACCATGACAGAACAGAAATGTTAGAGAAGATGTGGAAAAATTGGAACACTAATACATTGTTGGTGGAGTTGTGAAATGATCCAACCATTTTGGAAAGCAGTTTGAGGCTATGCCCAAAGAGCTATAAAAATGCTCTTTGACCCTTTGACCCAGCAATAGCCCTTGTAGGTCTGTATCCCAAAGAGATCATAAAAATGGGAAAAGGACCCACATGTACAAAAATGTCTATAGTAATTTGTTTTGTGGTAGCAAAGAATTGGAAATTGTGGGGATGCCCATCAATTGGGGGATGGCTGAACAAGTTGTGGTATATCAATGTAATGGAATACTATTGTGCTATAAGAAATGATGAACAGGCAGACTTCAAAAAACTTGGAAAGACTTACATGAACTGATACAGAGTGAAATGAGCAGAACTAAGAGCCACATTGTGGGTTGATTGACTTTGATAGACTTGGCTCTTTGTAGCAATGCAAGAATAATCTAAGACAACTACAAAAGATTCATGACGGAAATTTCTATCCACACCCAGAGAAAGAA